GGCTGGTGACGGCGGCGGTGATGCTCGGCTAGGCGGCGGCCCGGTGACCCGGCAGCGGTCGCCGGCAGTAGGCGCGGTGGCGGTGCTGCCCTTGGCAGCAGGACAACGTGGTGGCGTGCGGTGGCCGGCGGCGCGTCCCCGGCCCAGATCTGGGCCCTCCCGGCCCCATTTGGGTCCTAGCGGGCCGGTCCCTGGCGTGGCTTTGTCGTTGTCTGTGTGGTGAGGAGGAGGAGCGGCTCGGATGGGGGGCGGCGATGCCGATGGCGTGCCTGCTGCAGCGCGATGGCGGGAGCTGTCCGGGAATGGAGTTCCCGGCCGGGCCTGTGGGCACACGGGCCTGGTAGGCTCCTGCTAGTATGTCCGGTCGGCTACCGTCGTTGATGGTGGAGGTTGTGCCCTCCCGCGTGCCGACGATGATGCGGCCCCTAGTCCCGGCTCCTATCTCTTGTTGTGCAGACCTCACCTCGTGGTGCCGTGGTGAGACGGCGTGGAGGCTTCTTGACCATGGTGGCGCAAGATGGTGATCGGTTTGGTGGCAAGCTCTGGAGCACCTGAGGTGAAGGTTGGGATCGGGGGAAACCCCTGTCGGCCTGTCCGACCCCGATGCGGCGACGCCGGTGGGGGCTGCCGGACCTTCCTGGAGGGCGTCAGGGGCGACCTTTCCTCTCGCCTCGTCGTGTACCGGGGGAAACCCTTGGCAGCAGCGTCGTCTTCGTCGCGGTCCTTCTTGGAGGTGCTGATTGGTACCGGTGCTTCGGAGCCTTGGAGCTTGGTGGGAGATCTTCGGTGGGCGTAGTGGTCGTGAAGCTTCTTCGTTTCCGTCGATCCGTCGTTGTCGGCATTCTTTTCTCTTGATGTTTCTTTTTCGTTTTTTTGGGTGTGACTGTGCTGCTTCCGCCCCAGCACCTATCCTTGGATGTATCGGTTGGTTGCTTTGGAATACAAAGCGGGGGGAAACCTTTTTTCGTCAATGTAGGGCGGTAAGCTTAAGAAGAAGAAATAACGTATCTGCTTTTTAAGTACGTTTTTGTTTTTTGCGGTAACTTTTTAAGTACGTATAAGGGGAGTTTTGAGGGGTAAGATGAGGAAGGTGGTGATCAGCCATCAGAAGCAGATGAAGCGCTGAGATAAGTTTGTGACGGTCAATTTGGGCGGCCAAGGTCTGGAAGCGAAGTGTCAAAAAGATTCTCCGTCGGTTAAATAACCTCTGTAGTCAAACCTAGATTTCTTTTACTCCATCAATCAAGATAATAACAGTACTCGAGTAATATACTTCTACAAATTGTCTAAGCAACCACCTAATTCCCGAGTGTTTTTTCTTCCAAAAAAAAGTTTAAGGCGGGTAACAATGGCCTGGCTGGCAAAAGGCAAAAGACATATATACACGTGCAGCATCTACATTGAGTGAGATCGGATCCAGCCGATAAAAGTTTCCATTATTATTTTTGGTTTACAGAGGAAAAAACATTCAGCTGTCAGATAAACAAGCCTGTATCCTCTCCGACGCACACCTTTAAAAGCCCCAGCCATCCAGCCATCCAGCCATCCATAATTGCATTCAAAGGCGAGCGCACAAAAGAGTGAGACTACCTAGAGCACTCAGCACCGTCGTAGGCTCTTCGCCATCCGTTGAGTGTCCCAGGTTCTCAGCGTGCACGTCTGATCTGATGGCGGTACCAGCAGGAGATTCCTCCGGCGGCGACAAGTACAGGTCTCACCTGGCCGGCGAGGGCGAGAAGAACACCGTGTGGCGGCACGGCGCGCCACCCACGTACGACGCCGTGAACAGCCTCTTCGAGGCCGGGAGGACTCAGGTATTCCGTTTCCGTCGATCTTCAGTTCTTCAGACGCCCTGACGTGCGTCCCGTGTCCGTCATGCGGAAGAAACGCCACCGCGCTCTTGTTTTCTGCGACGGGGAAGGAACGCCTCTTTGTCGCGGCCTCGCGGCAAACCGGCGGCTGCATCTGCATGCGTCGGTGCGTCACACGCGCGTTTCTTGTCCCTTTGCAGGAGTGGGCGAAGGGGTCGCTTGAGGAGGTGGTGCAGAACGCGATCAAGACGTGGGAGATGGAGCTGTCGCACAAGGCCCGCATCGAGGACTTCAAGTCGGTGAGCCCCGGCCGGTTCACCCTGTCCGTGAACGGCGGGCGGGCCCTGACGGGGGAGGAGACGCTGGCCATGGGCAGCTACAACGCGCTGCTCGCCAGCCCGATCCTGCCGGGCACCGGCGCGTACGACGCCACCGCCGAGACGTTCGAGTCCTCGCACGACCTGTTCCGCTCCGCCTTCCCGCGCGGGTTCGCGTGGGAGGTGGTCAAGGTCTACTCCGGCCCGCCGGTGATCGCCTTCAAGTTCCGGCACTGGGGCCACATGGAGGGGCCCTACAAGGGCCACGCCCCCACCGGGGACAAAGTCGAGTTCTACGGCGTCGCCGTGCTCAAGGTGGACGAGCAGCTGCGGGCGGAGGACGTGGAGGTGTTCTACGACCCGGGGGAGCTTCTCGCGGGGCTTATCAAGGGTCCCAAGGAGGAAGACGAGGCGGCGGCGGCGCTCGCCGGGAGGCTCCGCGAGGCGGCTACGGTGTCCGCATCAGGTGCTGACGCGCAGCCGCAGGCCTGCCCCTTCCTTGGCTCTGGAAAGCAGGGGTGATCGAGTGGCCTCGTCGAATAAAACGTGTCAAGCCTCCAGTCTTCAGGGTGTTGCTGTTGCATCACTGTTTCGCAATCAGATAGATCTTTTTCGTCAGCTTTGGAGACCAACTGAAAGCTCAGTTCAACGTGTAATCGTACTGTTAAGTGCTTGTTGTTTGTTGGAAGTTGTTGGGTCCAGATCAGATCGATCGGGATCAGTGAGTACAGCTCTGTGAAGAAGTGGTTTCTGACGTGCTAGATGATTGATTTCTGCTTGAATTAAACTGTTTCTTGCAACAACAACAAAAACCATATTTCCTCTATGAAATAAATTTATGTAACTTTATTATGAAGAAAAATAGTGATGTTGCACGTGACAGGCCTATATGTAGGTGCCACATCAGTCAAAACGCTAATCAAAACCACTCTGGCAAACTTGCCCGTGGGAACTGAACCTTAACCATTGAATCCGGGAAATCGATACCCTTTACACACTGATCCCGATCCCGACCCTGGTTGATGCACCGGGAAAAAATCATTAGCAACTGGGATTATAGTCCTATCATCGATTATAAGGGCCCACATGTTATACTCTCTTGCGTATTGTAGAGGCAATTGCGCTGTTAGATGCGGAAGCAGATCGCCGCCCTTTCTTGGAAGACGAGTGGGCCCATAGATACGCCTTGGAAAACCAAGTCATGGCGATTTTGCGAGTGGAGGAGGAGTATTTGCGACGTAGGGGCGGAGTCAAATGGATCACGAAAGGAGACGCAAACACTGGATATTTCCACGCTTATGCGAACGGGAGGAAACGGAAGTGCTCCATTCCTCGCCTGCAGTCCAATCACGGGCTCCTGTTGACGCAGGAACAAATCGTGGCTCATATTTACGAGTTTTTCATAGGCCTTTTGGGGACGGCCGACGAAAAACCGATTTGCTTGCGCGGTGATCTGTGGGATCAAGCGGAGCGTGTATCCCCGGAGGAGAACGGCAGGCTTGCTCTTTCTTTTCTGCCCGAGGAAATTGATCAGGCCCTAGACGGCATGAAAACGAGCTCGGCGCCCGGTCCGGACGGGTGGCCTGTCGAGTTCTTCAAGAAGTTTTGGCCATGCCTTAAGCATCTGTTTTATGATATTGTCAACGGCTTTGCGCTGGGTATGCTCGACCTTTCTCGCCTGAATCACGGTGCCATTAGCCTTATCCCTAAGGTGAAAGAGGCAGATAACATTAAGCTTTTTAGACCCATTACCCTGATTAATGTGCCTTTCAAAATCTGTGCGAAAGCTTATGCATCGTGATTGGCCCCGGTCGTTCAACGGGTCATTAGTTCTAGTCAGATATGTTTTCTTAAACGTCGAAACATTCTTGAGGGCCCAATTGCGCTTCAAGAAATCGTTCACGAGTTAAAACACACTAGGGCCCAGGGCGTGCTCCTTAAATTAGATTTCGAGAAAGCATATGATCGTACGAACTGGGAGTTTGTGCGAGAAGTCTTCCTCAAAAAGGGTTTTGAGGCAGGCTTTGTGCACCGCATCATGCACCTCGTGTGTAGTGGGCACACGGCGGTCACTATCAATGGCACAATGGGCAAGTTCTTCCGTAACAAACGGAGCCTCCGGCAGGGAGACCCAAGCTCGCCTCTCATTTTTAACTTTGTTGCGGATGCCTTGTCAGGCATGATTAATAAAGCGCGTGTAGCGGGTCACGTTAAAGGGTTAGTGCCCCACCTCATCCCTGGTGGGGTTGTTGGGGAACGTAGCAGAAATCAAAAAAATTCTACGCATCACCAAGATCAATCTATGGAGTAATCTAGCAACGAGGGGAAGGAGAGTGCATCTACATACCCTTGTAGATCGCTAAGCGGAAGTGTTCAAGTGAACGGGGTTGATGGAGTCGTACTCGTCATGATCCAAATCACCGATGATCCTAGTGCCAAACGGACGGCACCTTCGCGTTCAACACACGTGCAGCCCGGTGACGTCTCCCATGCCGTGATCCAGCAAGGAGAGAGGGAGAGGTTGGGGAAGACTCCGTCCAGCAGCAGCACGGCGGCGTGGTGGTGGTGGAGGAGCGTGGTACTCCAGCAGGGCTTCGCCAAGCACTATGAGAGACGAGGAGGGAGAGAGGTAGGGTTGCGCCAAGAGGGAGATCAAATCATGTGTTGGCAGCCCCAAAGATCTCAACTATATATAGGGGAGAGGGAGGGGGCTGCACCCCCTCTAGGGTTCCCACCCCAAGGGGTGCGGCAGCCCCTAGATCCCATCTAGGGTGCGGCCAAGGGGGGGGGGAGGGGGAAACTTGCCCCCCAAGTAAGGTGGAGGCACCCCCTCCCCAAACCCTAGGCGCCTTGGGCCCTGGTGGGGGGCGCACCAGCCCACCTAGGGCTGGTCCCCTCCCACACTTGGCCCATGCAGCCCCTATGGGGCCGGTGGCCCCACCTGGTGGACCCCCGGGACCCTTCCGGTGGTCCCGGTACGTTACCGATAGCACCCGAAACTTTTCCGGTGACCAAAACAGGACTTCCCATATATAAATCTTTACCTCCGGATCATTTCGGAACTCCTCGTGACGTCCGGGATCTCATCCGGGACTCCGAAGAACATTCGGTAACCACGTAATCTATTCCCTATAACCCTAGCGTCATCGAACCTTAAGTGTGTAGACCCTACGGGTTCGGGAGACACGTAGACATGACCAAGACAACTCTCCGGCCAATAACCAACAGCGGGATCTGGATACCCATGTTGGCTCCCACATGTTCCATGATGATCTCATCGGATGAACCACGATGTCGAGGATTTAATCAATCCCGTATTCAATTCCCTTTGTCTAGCGGTATAGTACTTGCCCGAGATTCGATCGTCGATATCCCGATACCTTGTTCAATCTCGTTACCGGCAAGTCTCTTTACTCGTTCCGTAACACATCATCCCGTGATCAACCCCTTGGTCACATTGTGCACATTATGATGATGTCCTACCGAGTGGGCCCAGAGATACCTCTCTGTCACACGGAGTGACAAATCCCAGTCTCGATTCGTGCCAACCCAACAGACACTTTCGGAGATACCCGTAGTGCACCTTTATAGCCACCCAGTTATGTTGTGACGTTTGGTACACCCAAAGCATTCCTACGGTATCCGGGAGTTGCACAATCTCATGGTCTAAGGAAATGATTGTTGGAAATATGCCCTAGAGGCAATAATAAAAGCATTATTATTATATTTCCTTGTTCATGATAATTGTATTTTATTCATGCTATAATTGTATTATCCGGAAATCATAATACACGTGTGAATACATAGACCATAACATGTCCCTAGTGAGCCTCTAGTTGACTAGCTCGTTGGTCAACAGATAGTCATGGTTTCCTGACTATGGACATTAGATGTCATTGACAACGGGATCACATCATTAGGAGAATGATGTGATGGACAAGACCCAATCCTAAGCATAGCACAAAATCGTGTAGTTCGTTTTGCTAGAGCTTTTTCAATGTCAAGTATCTCTTCCTTAGACCATGAGATCGTGTAACTCCCGAATACCGTAGGAGTGCTTTGCGTGTACCAAACGTCACAACGTAACTGGGTGACTATAAAGGTGCACTACATGTATCTCCGAAAGTGTTTGTTGGGTTGACACGGATCGAGACTGGGATTTGTCACTCCGTATGACGGAGAGGTATCTTTGGGCCCACTCGGTAATGCATCATCATAATGAGCTCAAAGTGACCAAGTGTTTGGTCACGGGATCATGCATTACGGTACGAGTAAAGTGACTTGCCGGTAACGAGACTGAACGAGGTATTGGGATACCGACGATCGAGTCTCGGGCTTGTAACGTACCGATTGACAAAGGGAATAGTATACGGGGTTGCTTGAATCCTCGACATCATGGTTCATCCGATGACTTCATCGAGGAGCATGTGGGAGCCAACATGGGTATCCAGATCCCGCTGTTGGTTATTGACCTGAGAGCCGTCTTGGTCATGTCTGCGTGTCTCCCGAACCCGTAGGGTCCACACACTTAAGGTTCGGTGACGCTAGGGTTATTAGGAAGACTTGTATGTGATTACCGAATGTTGTTCGGAGTCCCGGATGAGATCCCGGACGTCACGAGGAGTTCCGAAATGGTCTGGAGGTAAAGATTTATATATGGGAAGCTGTCATACGGACACCGGAAGGTTTCGGGGGCATATCGGTATTGTACCAGGGCCACCGGAAGGGTTCCTGGGGTCCACCGGGAGGGGCCACCCCTCCCGGGGGGCCACATGGGCTGCGTGGGGCAGGAGCCAGCCCCTGAAGGGTTGGGCGCCCCCCCCCTTGGGCCCATGCGCCTAGGGTTGGGGGGGGGGACCCTAGAGGGGGCGCCCCCCTTGCTTGGGGGGCAAGTTCCCCCTCCCTGGCCGCCGCCCCCCCTCTAGATCCCATCTAGAGGGGCCGGCCCCCCTTTGCCCCTTCCCCTATAAATAGAGGGGTGAGGGGAGGGCTGATTACCTAAGCCAAGGCGCAACCCCTCCCCTCCCCAACACCTCTCCTCCTCCGTACGTGCTTGGCGAAGCCCTGTCGGAGTACTGCTGCACCAACAACATCACGCCGTCGTGCTGCCGTTGGAGCTGTCTTTCTCAACCTCTCCTTCCTCCTTGCTGGATCAAGACGGAGGAGACGTCGTCCGTATTGTACGTGTGTTGAACGTGGAGGTGTTGTCCGTTCAGCACTTGGTCATCGGTGATCTGAATCACGGCGAGTACGACTCCATCATCACCATCCCCTTGAACGCTTCCGCACTCGATCTACAAGTGGTATGTAGATGCAAACTCACTCCCTTGACTCGTTGCTTAGATGAACTCATAGATGGATCTTGGTGAAACCGTAGGAAAAATTTTAATTTTCTGCAACGTTCCCCAACAATGATACTTGACATTAGAAAAGCTTTAGCATACGAACTACACGATCTTTGTGCTAGGCTTAGGATTGGGTCTTGTCCATCACATCATTCTCCTAATGATGTGATCCCATTA